AAATTTTTTGCTTGAATAGTATTAAAGATGACGCATCTTTTCTGTTGCGTTTCTTATTTACTTTTTGATTTATTCAGATTCAATTAGAATATGTCTAATTTTTCACTGTACATCAAGATTATATATGCTATGACATAATTTAAGAATCAGGTAATAAATTGCATTTCCTATTTAGAATTGTTCAATGTTATCATGTGCAATTCATCCACGACCTCGGCACAGGTAAAAAGAGTGAACCGGAAAAAATCTAGACCCTGAACGCAAGTTACAGCGGTAATATATATGAAATGACCAGTTGATTACCAGAAGAAATGCCTCCCTTTGAAAAAAAAGAAAGAATCATTTAAATGAGTCCAGTAAAGTTCCATACATCGGGTTTGCAAAGATGATTCAAAAAGGAAACGCATAGTACATGGAACCTACCTTCCAAAATAAATCCATCTTTACTGTCAGCCCATGCATTAAATATATTTGTATTACAAGGAATAAATGGTAAGATACAAATCATTATATCCCTAAAAGAACGACAATATGTAGGAAATTATCAGGATAACAAAGATTTTGTGATGCCCAAATTATAGGCATGTCCAGTTGCGGAATTACGCCGTGAATCACTGGTACGGCAAAAGCATTTTCGCTGGGTAAAGGTGATGTAAATAATTCCGGAAGGACCTGATGCAATATATTCCCTAGTGTGAGCTTGTTTCCTATATATTAAAATCATTGTGTAAATGAAAAAGAAAGAGAAACGTTAAAAAAGTTCTCCTAATAGATGCTCTGGATTCAAGCAGAGAAGGGAAGTAAGAAGAGATATACTCACCGCTTTCGTCGACAGGCGATACTGGTTCCTGTATCACCGGACAATTATCGGGCAAGTATATTCGTAGTGGAATGTGTCTCGGGGTTTGTCCATCGTTGATAACCAAACGATAGTTCACGCTCCAGAATCGATCATAGTTTTCTTTACGGCACATTCAAGCAAGAAAAGGAAAAAAAAAAAAGACAGGATTTAAGGATTTACTGCCAACAATGAATTGAGAGGGAGAAGAAACAATCAAGCAATTATGTATTCAGGATACTGGACCACAGTCCATCCCACAACTGCGTTTGGTCATTCTTTGACAAATTCATTACTTTTTTTGTGCTTCCATTTCTAAGGAAATCGGCCTTCAGATGAAATCGAAAATTGAATTGATCAGGACAAGCAAAGATAAAGAAATCTCAATGCCTGACTAATTATGAGATGCATGAATACCTCTTTGATCATGGACATAAAAAAATCCTGTGTAGCATCTATGGCGTTCGCTCGTATTAATTTTTCCGCTGGAAAATTCTTGAAATGTACAGTCACGGGCCACGGTAAAGGTGGAGGGCTATTGGAATCCGGACGATATCCGGTGTGCAGATCGAACAATAGTCCTATAGGATAGTGCCTTTATTTCACGAAAGCAATGTTGGAATGAACTTCAAGACACGTGCGTGTATAAATCACGACCGAGAATTCGTGGTAAATGAAAAGCCTTACCACTTTAATGGGGTCCCATCAACGTCATACCATATGTCTGCGTCGTCTCCAATAAAATTTAACATCATGTCCCCAAAATACTTTCTAACTTGACTCGTTAACAAGGGAAAGTATGAGCATCGTGGAGCTTCTATCTGTCACGAGTATTTCCGAATCGAAGATTTGTTAGTGACA